CGGCGACGGCGACGGCGACGACAGACGCAGGTGATGGCAATATGTACAGACACATCTGTGTCTGTACATAAAAAAGGAAACAGAATGGCTATTTACTCATTAATAACCAATCCAGGTTTATGACAGACCTTTTTTCAGCTAATCAGGTTAATTTGTGGTTTTGACAACCTCGAATGAGCAAATTATAGATTTTATATTTAGATGTGTTTCTTAAATTGTGCTTGAATGGAAAACAAAACTGCAGTCCTTTAAAAACCCTGTTACAGCAGTAAGTGAAGGAATATTAAGGAGACATTTTTCTACTATGTGCTTTGAAAAAATGTGGTGTTGATATAACAAAGAGGAAGACATAAAGAACTTATTCCTGTGTATTTGGCAAGTAATGTGATTAAATAATAATTTGTACATTCATGTTTCTGGGTTGGTTCAAAAACAGATAATCAACAATTTCATATTTTTTCCTTGGTGTTAAACATCAACAAGAATTATACAGTAACATGTTTACAAAGATCAAACACAAACATCTCTTTCAGCTGCCTAATAATTAAAATCCAAATGCCACAGTACTTCCACAATGTCTAATACAGCATCAAGACAGCACTTACAGTTCATGACACGACCCACAATTTAAATGGTGAAAGTGCTTGAGGTATTAAACAACCTTTGTATCAAACACATGACAAGTATGATTAAATAAAACCTCTTTATAACAAAACAACATATCAATAAACTGAAAAACCTAAAAGGAAAGACCCAAGAGTGTGAAGTATCTTCATATATACTCCCTTAATTATAACATACACTCCCTTAAATCATAACAATATATAGTCCTGGTTCAAGTTGAATAAGCAGTATTGTTATCCTGAGAATTGAATATTGACAGGAGTTGAATGAAGTCAATTGTTTGGCTGGATTCCATGGCTGAGTATATTCAAACTACTACCTGGGCAAAATATGAGCCTTTTGGCCCATGCATGCCAATGACATACAAGATAATGTGCATATGTACTTTACTCAAGTGAATATTCTATTTTTTTTAGAATAAAGTAGAATAATTAAAATAAATATTTGCATTTGATTTTAAAGATTGCAAAAAAAAATTGTATGTACTTGATAGATATAATGAACTATATGTATATAATTCTTTATAGATAAACATCCTTATTTTACAATTTCACAATCATCTCCCTCCTCATAAATGTCAACCATTTCAAACCTCAACATGGACCATCAATCACTTTAATCATAAACAAAATAAATGACAAAAAATAATAAAATAAATAAAAAAAATTCAATAAAAATAAGAAAATATTATAACAGATAATCAGATAGGCCAGCACATGTCCCACAGTGCATGGCAGAAAGCCATCTTCTCAGATTGGCAATTCTCTAATGGGATTTCAATCAACTTAACAACATTCATTAACCGTCAAACTTTTAAATCCCAAAGAGCAAAAATGAGACATTATTCTTTACAACAGAATATGCGACCAATTCTAAGTATTAGCAACATTTCCATTTACACAATTCCAGTAAAGTCGGAATTGCAATCCTTTGCAGGTTCTTTTTCAGACAGACAGAAAGAAACCTATTCAAATTTATGCATTAGACCATGCTGCAAACCTGGTTAATTCAGGCTATCTTTGCCAAGAGAACTGGAGATGAACAGGACCAGTAAATTGAGTGGTAACAAACCTGACATTCCAAGGTGAAATCAATTTGTTTAAGAGCAAAAGGCAGTAGTGCAGCATCTTCATTTAAGCTTTTGATACATGCTGCCATCCAAGTATTCTTATTGTTATATTATTCTTAAAGTTGTTTATTTGTAAACAGTTGCAAAAGAATGTTGCATATACATGTACAATATCAGCAGGACAACAAAATTTCAATTTAATAGTGTCTTTCACAATACAACTGTAACTGGTATATTTTCTGACCCAGTGCCATATGATTACAAAAAATAAGTAAAATCCGTAAGAAAACACTTTGTTTTCTTATACAGTTTTTTTTCTTATACAAAAAGGGAAAAATTCACATGGCATTGTCAGCCTATATTGATTAACCCTGTCTCTTCAACAAACCCCAACTGCCATCTGTTATTACTTAATTAGCAGGAAAGAAGAAAGCCTAATTGACCACATTGCTTTTTGTTTTTATCACAAGTTTCCCCAAAGGTCACCCGTGGTTGGTTAAGAGTCAGGAAAATCTGAATATCTCCCAGCCCACCTTTCCCTCAGATCAATTAATTAGGCCTCCAGTGAGTATCCTGAAAAAAAAAAAAAAAAAAAAAAAAAAACCTTCCCGTTGCATTCCAACTCCACTGCAGTAATCTTGATTGGTCAGCAGCTTGATAGATGTAAAAAAATGTTGCCTCCATTGCTGCAGTTTCTGATTGTCCCCACATTATATGTCAATCTTTCGTACATTGTCTCTGTATGTGATACACAAGTTCTTCAGCTAAGAAGTTCACCAGTCCAGTAACCAATAAATCACAACAAACCATGTTTTGGTGGCACAGCACTGGTCCTATATAAAACCATGGAGTAATGACTGGGTGATTACACCAGTCATCATGTTCACAATCACTCTCTACAGCGTAGATGAGTCCGAGTTTTGCTCCCCAACGTCAGGTAGCCTTGGCCGGGAGCATTTAAGTACTAAGTCCTCATAAGTTCCACCATGTAAAAAGCAGACCAGTATGGCAGTCATGTTGTCACAACCTAGGCCACCTACCTCTGGAGCAGGTGCTAGACACCTTGTCAGCAGATCTTCACAGATCTGAAAAAGACAAGTACTGAAATAGGTCATAATGACACAAATATGGGATATAATATTAGACAATTATTTCCTGATCATTTTCCTTGAAATGTTTAAGCAGCTCTGGATGATTATACAAATCATTCAAAATGCTCAGCAATGTCTCAAAGAAAAGTACATCTAATTGACTTTGTGCAGGCTTTTGTCCCTCATAAAAGACTTGGGATTTTTGCATGCAATTTTCAAATACGTGAACAGTTTGTTTAGCTGGAAGGAGTGATCAGTGAATTGTATATCATAAGACTGTTTACTCACAACATCAGGTTCTACTCTTTGTGCTATCCGAGATCGTACAAAGTCGACCACCTCTTGATTCGTGAGGACATCCCAGATGCCATCACATGCCAGGACTGTAAATTCTAGATCTTGTGTTATTTCATACACTGTTACATCTGGGTTAGCTGAAAAATACAGTCAAAGAAGTAATTTTAAATTATCATTATAATTTTTTTTTTTGGGGGGGGGGGGGCCCATCAATGGCATTATCTCAAAATATATTAAATTTTTTCGTCAAGTTAAAGTGAACCAACAGTAACAGTGATACAACACATTTTCAGAATAAAACAGTCAATTATTGTCATTATTTTTCAAACTAATTATTTGTATTTTTCAACAAGGATAAAACCATGAAATTGCCTTTTTTATTGTCTCTTGTATAAAGAAGGCAAAAAGTGGATCTTCACCTATCAAGATACTTATAACATGCTTTTACTTGTGAGGTATGACATTTCACTGCATGTCTCAAATTTAAAAAACATGAGTCTCTTTTAAAACAATTCTAATGGGTAATATCAATCTTAGAAATTCAGTCCTTAAGCTTTCAGGTATGAACAACAAGTATAGCAACAATAAATTAAGAAAGAATTGTTTTTAAAAATTCGTTCATTATAAAGTCAACCATGGGAATTTAAACCACCTAATAATCTTACCTGTAACAATTTGTTCCTCTGCACTTTTCTCTGAATTCTTTTTGAATACAAAATCACCTAAAGCTCTGGAGAGTGCCAAATTACCTGTGAAGAAATGAGTAATATGAATTAATAAGTCATATCACCATTATGTTGAAGCATGCGAGATGGAATCGGTGAACTGTTGCCAGATTTCCCCTATTTACTCATCACCATCACCACCATATACCATAATCATACTGGTTAAACTCATCAACTATTCACAAAATATTATCATCATTATATAAAATTAATATCAATTCTTACGTCATAAATTGATTCCCATGCCAAAAGTGGATTCATTTATCTAAGCAGTACTGTTTTTAACTGTCAAGACATTTTTCTCCATTTTAAGTGAACTACCAATATATATATTCATCAAAGCATGAGAAATATTTACCATTGACCCTATTAAATTCTACCCATCCACCAGCAGCTATAATTCTTTTTGTTTCTAATTCATTACAAGGTTTATGGTCCATAGAAGAGAAATCCACTTTGCCTCGCACTGATGCTATTACTCTGGAATCACCAGCATTTCCCTTAAGAAAAAAAATTAACAAATTAATTATCATCATACAGTATTATTCCATTTATCTTCATTAAAAAATTGTGACTGTGGGCTCTAATAAACAACACTAACAGCAAAACAAAATGCCACTAGCCTATCATTTTGGAAAATTACTTGAAATACAGAAGGTGAAAAAAAAAGAGAAATCCTTTTTAAAGAGACAGCAGTAAAAACTTGGAAGATTTCATCATCAAAAAATAATTTTTTAACATGCATGAATCCTACAATTTTTTAAAAACACGTTTTCCTGCCATGTGAATTTGACAAATATTTCAAAACATTTGATGTGTAAGCAGGTGCTCTGAATAGCATTACAAGGAAGGCAGACTATTATGGACTGGTGAGCATTCCCAGGGTATCAACGTTATCTGTTTTTGGTGACAGTTCCCCCAAGGTAAAGTCACCCTAGACTGATCCTGTCAGATAAAACTATGGAAGTTTGTGTTCTTAAAAAATAGGGCAGGACCATAAATCCTGCTTGTGGTCTGTTGTTTGATGTGCCAGTCCTGAAAAACTAATATACAGAAACAGTATTCCTTTTTATTCAGAAATGTCTCACTTTCCATACACTGAAAGCCCTTTTATACTTTTGGAGAACAGTAAGATTAAAGGGGGATAAAAAGAAATTAGCAATATATCTTTAACAATATATCTTCATGTAAACACCTAATAATTTTGATAATATGAAAAACAACTTTTTTGCTGAAGTCAACTGGATGAAATGAAGTGGTCTACTCGAATAATCACACTTGTATGTCCCACAACAGTCAACCAATTTTTCTAACAGCAGGGAGATATTAAAATCTGATAGCATTTTGTTTCTTTTGAACAGGGACAAATACCCTGCAAGAAAGCGCCTGGCTCGTCTATCAATCATCTGAAGTACACAAACTCAATTTTAATTAAAATTACTATATAAATTTAGTGACTTACACAATATAATTTATTATCTTTTATTAATGTGCATATGCATGTGGTGCCAGCTAGTTCTTCTTTCATGGTTTCATCTGAAAATAAAAGATATTCATTGTCATGTTTCAAGAATAAATGTGTAAAGTATACAAATATGAAAGACAAAGATGAAAAATGACATCAAGGATCGTTGATTTTACTTATTTACTTATTTATTTACTTAAATTTGTAAATCATCCCAAGACACCCTTAGGGTGCTATACCAGTACAGATAGCGTCTAAACTGTAATATAAATTTGCAGTATCACACGGGTTCTGCCCCAAGCTTCTGTTTTTTCCCCATTTCAAATTTGGTAAGTCATTACAATTGGTTTCCAGTGTGATTTGTAAACTACTTATAATACATACTTTCAGTAATTGTCCAGAAACGTGGAGAACAAAAAAGTGTTTGCGAATTTTGATGAAGCCTTTGGTTCGAGAGAGATATGACCCCCAGATGACAAAAAAACATTTAAAAAAGAGCAAATTTCACTTTTTGCAGATGAAATCTAAACAACACAGCAAAAGAAAAATTAAGGAAAGTATAGCGTAGTCCTTTTCAACAAGGCTGGCTGTCAGGTAAGTATTAATATGTGCCGTGGAGACCAAGAAATCCCTGACAACGCAAAATGACTTTTTTACAGTGCTTACTTCGAGATTGTAACTTCTAGCAACAATGCATTCATGAATTACACAAAATCATAATTTATGTCATTTGTAACCAAAGACACTGGCTTTGTAAATATTTATCAAGTTTTCTCCCCCCCCCCCCCCCCC